TGTTTCCTATAGTGTTGTAGGACACAGGTAAGGAGAGGAGGTTCTATTTTCTGTCCTAAAAAGTGATTCCTGTCTAATTGAGTTCCTGTTCAGTTTTAAACCCAGCAACAAATGCAACAATGTCCCTGGATACAATAGTTGCAAAGAGGCAAGCGAGAGTGTAGGTCAAGCGGTCAGTCCAGTTGGGCAGGTGAGACGTTTTAAGTCCTAATAATGCTTGGATGCTAGCATTATATGCAGAAAATGTGGGTGCCGGGGAGTTGTGACTGCGAGTGGAATTCTTGGGGATCAGTGTGGTGGGTCAGAGTTTGCTGTTTGTGGAGTAGACTCCCAGAGGCCGTGATAACAGCTGGTCATCCTCACTCCTCTTTCGCATCTTGGTTTCTCTCACCAGCTATCTAAAACAACGATTTTATGATTCCTACTTGGAGTTTCTCTGCCTTGGCTAAAGCACCTACATTATTCAGAGGACCCGGAGTGCTGGGCAACCAAATCTTATATAATCCCCACAGATGGGTCAAAGTTTAATTACAGTTCTATTCTGGAGTCCCTATGAGGCCCTTGCACGTTGAAAGGAAGACCCTCCAACACCTCCACACTGACCTTCAGTCACTTGAGAGTGTCGGCTTACGCAGACCAGGGGGAAAAGTGTCTCATATCTTCAGTACCAGTTCATCACCAGGCGCTCATAGTTACCTTAGTTTTCCACTTGTAGGCAGTCATCCCCTTTTAACTAGAATTACTGACTCACCCTCTCAATCCTGGAAAAGAAGGAAAAGTAAAGCAGCCCTTTCTCTGGTCTTGTGGCTAGAGGACTTACAGTTTGCACAGTTTGAGTCACGGCACCAAAGATGTTACTGATTGGGGTTACCGGCTGGGACCTCAGTCCTTGTTGACATAGAAAAGCTTTTGAGGCCTATGAAAATGAAAATAAAGCAAAGTGGAAGTTTTTGAAAATACACTCCGAGAAGCAGGCCAGTTGAGTGAGACAGTTGCCTGAACTTCCTGGGTTATATGGTTTAAATGAGGGATTTTCTGGGTGGAGACTTTCATTTGCATCCAGGGATGATTGACAGAAAAGGATTATATAACTATCTTTCTTCAGCACAAGACCTTACCCATAATGCATACAGAAAAACCCATGGGTGTCCAAAACCGCAATGCAAATATTATTCCTTATTGGTTAAAATGCCTTGTAAGGTGGTAGGAATCATACACTCTCACTCCAGACTACATTGTATGCCATCCAGATGGGAAATGATTTTATGATTCCTACTTGGAGTTTCTCTGCTTTGGCTGAGGCACCTACATTATTCAGAATCACAGGACCTAAAACCACTGTTCTAATACTACATTGGAGCAAGTGGAAAAGTACAGTGAATTTACACGAGTTCAGCATTGTCATTTATGCGCAGACCAAACAACATTAAACACAGCAGATTCCACCAGAAATGGCAGGTTCATCAGATTTTAGAATGAAAACAGGCATGGAAAAGCTGTCTCTTTCATCCCCCACCCCCAGTTCTCAGGAAGCTCCAACCCCAATCCTGCTGTGGCGAAGAAACTTTTCCCTTTTATGGAAAATCCTCTGGAGTGGACATACTGCAGCTCTCAGGCTCCTATTTCATCATTTAATAATGATCGTTGCCAGGATCTATCTGCCTACCTACACATCCATTTAAATACATATTCTCCAATTAAATGGAGATATAGCAGTCACTTAGGCCTATCTGAAAGAGATCCCAGAGATAATGTATAGGGAAAGCACCTAGGGAAACTGTAAATGTTGTTCAGATGTATGGCATTCATAAAAATACCATGTGTCTGAAAAATTGCATAATGCTTGCTTCTTTCTTTTGTTCTCTGGAATGCTGTGACCTGCCAGAGAAGAAAGTTGAGGACAATTCAGAATTGAGGAAGTACTGGTTCATTTTTATTTTAAGTTAATCAGTGACCATTGTTAAGTGAGGGGAACTGTTTATTTTGGTAGTGTAGGAAACATCCTGCAGAAAATACTCACCGACCCTCTATATCTTTTTCTTTTACTCTTCCCACTTTCCATTTGCAAAATGATCTGAGAACTGGCATAAAAAGTAGCTCTTTTTACTCAAAACCTTCTGCACAGCAAAAGATACAATCATCAAAATGGAAAGACTACCCACTGTATGGGAGAGCATAATTGCCAATGATATATCAGATAAGGGGTTAATTTCCAATACATATAGAGTGCTCATACAACTCCACAAAAGGAAAACAAAGAATCCAATTAAAAATGGGCAGAAGAACTAAATGGACACCTCTCCAAACAGGACATACAAATGGCTAAGAGACATATGAAGAAATGCTCATCATCACTAATCATCAGAGAGATGCAAATTACAACAACAATGAGGTATCACCTCACACCTGTCAGAATGGCCGCCATCAACAAATCATCAAACAACAAGTGTTGGCGAGGGTGTGGAGAAAAGGGGACTCTAATACACTGCTGGTGGGAATGCAGACTGGTGCAGCCGCTATGGAAAACAATATGGTGTTAGCTCAAAAAATTAAAAATTGAACTTCCCTTTGACCCAGTGATTCCACTTCTAGGAATATACCCTAAGAAGCCTGAAACACCAATCAGAAAGAACATATGTACCCCCACGTTTGTAGCAGCACTATTTACAATAGCTAAGATCTGGAAACAGCCCAAGTGTCCATCACTAGACGAATGGATAAAAAAGCTGTGGTACATATACACAATGAAGTACTACGCAGCTGTAAGAAAGAAAGATCTCTTATCCTTTGAGACTACATGGAGGGACCTGGAAAGTATCATCCTAAGTGAAACAAACCAAACACAGAAAGACAAGTTTCATGTGATCTCACTTATTTGTGGAATATAATGAACATAACAGTCTGAGGAAGGGGGTAGTCCCAGAGACGTGGAAGTGGGATACAGACAGACAATCCCCTAAATAGGGGGGTGGTGGGGGAGAGATAAACCACAGAACTTATATGCATGTATGCATGAACAGTGGACATGCACAACAAACTGGGGAAAGGTCAGGGAGGGAGGAGGAGGGGGGAACCAGTGGAGGAAAAAGGAGAAACATCTATAACAAAAATTAATTAATAAAAAAAAAGTAGCTCTTTTTTATTTACTCTGTCATTTCTTGCTTGTGTGAAAAACTAAACAACCATATGAATATTAAACTAAAGGTTGTAAATTGCAGTGTGTTATGGCCTTGACAATTTCTGTAATTCAAATTGGTACGTTATATAAAGTGCAAGTGTTGTAGAGACTACAATGAGACGGTAACTTGCAGCAAAAGGTGAGGATAAGTGTGAACCGGAATAAACTATACTTTTAGAAGGTGTATTCAATTTTACTTTACATTTTGCAAAATAGTTATTATAGAAAACGTAGTGTTCTTATCAGTAAGCTGTGTCAGACCGTATATATCACAGTTGCAAACAAAGTCAGTTCCTGAAGCAAAATGTATATAGCTACCATTCTGTTAAACATATTTTTTACTGGTTTCCAGGAACAGTTTGAAAATTTACCTGTTCTAATCACTGACTCTTGGCATGTGAAGGAAATGTACAGTCAGTTGTTCTAATGCCCCGTCTTTGGGCAATGGGTAAATTGCTAAGCTATTCAGCAATGATACTGAGTTTTTCTAGCTTGCCATGGGTAGAGATTCCCACAACCTCTCTTAACCCTTTGCCAAGGTAGATTTCCAGAAGTTACCTTTTATATATAGCCTCATTCTCTCCTACTTCACTTTATCCGCTACAGGTTTTGAAGGAAATACTCACTAAATAATTATTTAATAAGCTTAAATAAAAAGTGGTGAGGCAAGAGGTCTTATCTATATTTTGTGGGTGATTTTTATTTTTTCAAACTAAAATATTATGTTCCCTATACTATCTATGTAACGGGCAAAAATTTTGACCAGAATAAATCTAAACATACATATTTGGAGAACTTTGCAAGCTGCAGGTAGTTTGTTTAAAATAATTTTCGGGTAGAGAGTTACATCTTTGACCTTTGAATAGATCATTGAAAGGAAGGAAAGTCTTTGTGGCTATATACTTTTAAAACATTTAGGTTGAGGCATTATCTTGAAAAAATAAATATGTAAGTGGATATTGGTTTCTGTCATAATTCCTTTAAATTAAATATATGGTTGTCTCAAACATGATAATATAGTACCATCAAAGTAGATTGTCCTAAATTTATATAAGAAAATGTATTAGCCTGATTTAAGAGAAGAAAACAGAGTGAAGCCTCAGTGAAATACAAGAGTGAGGTAAAATGGAACTCAACTTAAAACTTATAGATTCAGCAGATATGCTTTTTAAAAATGTAAAAGGAACATTAGAGATATAATTTGTGAAGTGGGATTTTTTTGACAACAGACCCTGAAAGAACACAAAGGAATGTCTTTCCTGTAAAGCCAAAGATTTTACCAATTTTCTTTGTAGAAATAGTTGATCATTGCATTAGTTTTTCTATCTTTTTAAAAATAATTATTTTGTGTTGAGAAGTAAGTTGCATTCTGTTTTCTGTTGTCTGGTAAGGGCAATGACAAGGTTATCATTACTAGTTGTATAAAAATTAAGTATTTTCCAAAAAATGAAATACTTCAGTCTGACCTTTCCTAAGTTAGTGTGTTACTATGATGGTGATGATTAAGGTTCTGTGGATAAAAAAAAAAAATGACTGGCGATAAAAGTTATTGTTTCTCTAGGATACTTTATTTAATTTAAACATTTTAGAATTGCATTGTTGGCCTCAGAACAGTTGGCTCAAGCAACACTTTTACTAAATCAGCAACCAAGAGCTTACTGGAGTTTGACATTCCCAATAAGGTTTTCTCCTCTTTCTATTCCTATTTATTTTTCTCTAGTCTAGACTGTAGTCAAACATGCTTAGACAAGAATTTTGTGCTCTATAGAAGCATGGAGAAATGTAATGAAAAACCAACTTTATCTCTCTTTTTCTTGGTCAGTGTGCTGGAGAAGAGAAGCAAGTTGGTACACGCACAGTGTTTGTTGGCCAGCATCCAACTTCAGCAGCAGAAGATTACATTGCACAAAGATTTTTTGATAATAGAATAGTCTCATCTAAGGTAAGTTTTTTAACTCAATATATATTCATGTAGTGAGACAGATAATGCACTTATTTTTTATTTATGCTTCTGAGGACTCTGGTACATTTATATATGCATATATTTATGTGTACTTAATACCAGTCATACATCAACTCTGATCATTATTTCAGCAAAAGGCAATTTTTTTAAAGCATCACTTTGTCTTGTTATAGCTGAAGCATCACTCACTTGCCTTCCATTATGTTTGACAGTGCCTGTTGATTATACATATTACTTTAAGCCTTAAAGTGTGCTAAAAGTAGGAATTATTTACTTGCCCAAAGCTTCCTGAATTGCCCTTAATTGTATGGAGTACTTTGTAAATAATTTACATTCTTTTGGAGGGTGCTATCCAAGAATGACATCTATATTTCTTTCTATTTCACTGAGGAGCTTCCCCTGCTCAGTATAGTGCTTAAACAGTTAAGAGTTTGATCACTGTAGCTTTGTCACCATTGGAATAATCATCTTACTTCAGCATAGTGTAGTGCTAAGAGCAATGGCCTGGAAGTCTGAAGACCTGAGTTTAAAGCCTGGCCTGACCATTTGTTAGCTATGTGAACTTGGTTAAATTAATCTCTAAGTCTGAATGTTATCATTAGTGAAATAGAGCTGATATTTGATATGTGAAAGCACTCTTTATAGTTCCTAGTACTCATAGTCATCTTTACCTTTGGCTGACTAGGTTAGGTGCTAGGTTCTAGATGCCTGATGGTTGGCCCACTGACATTTCTTATACCATGGCCCAGATTCAGATAATTTTCCTCACTTCCTCATGCAACCAGACAAGGCATATCTAAAATGTTGGTGACAATTGATTCACTGCATGTTTACAAACACCTTGGACCTGAAACACAAAATTATGCCCTTTAAAAACTTTAGTTTTCAAACATACATGTGATTTATCATTGGGTAGTGATGTAATACAGATTATGTTTAGCTAGGAGATTAACATATAAAATGTGGACAGAATGAGGGAAAACTGTGTTGTTTTATGATCATTGGCCTATAGAATACTCTGAGTACATTTGTATAAAATGTTTTTCTTGTTAATTTTTTTTTTTTTATCCTCACCCGAGGACATTTTTCCATTTTTTGTACAGATAGAGTGGGAGGGAGAGAGAGGAAGAGAGAGAGAGGGAAACATCGATGTGAAAGGGACACATCGAGTGGCTGCCACCCTCATGACCAACCAGGGCCGGGGACAAACTGCAACCGAGGTACATGCCATTAGCGGAAACCGAACCCGGGTCTCTCCGGACCGCAGGCGGACGCTCTAACTGCTGAGCAAACCGGCCAGGGCTTTCTTGTTAATTTTTAACCTTATGGAAGAATCATAGTCCTTTGGCTCAGAATCTTAGACTTCTAGAACGGAAAGATCCTAATAGGTCATCTTGTTCATCTCACTGACTTTACAAATGTATAAAGCAAACCCAGAGAAACTGAGCTGGTGATATGGTCATCAAGCAGAGTTACTGATAAAGCCCTTTTCATATCATTGTCCTGTTTGGGTTCCTTTCTCAGTTTTATCTCTTCTTTTGCATCAGAGAAATATAAAATATTTTCTAGGGAATTATTTTTTTTCATAGTGTTTTATGTAGAAGATGTTAAAGTAACTTTTCATTGAAGTAGTAATAATCATTTTGTTGCAATATACTTTGCATTTTTGTATTTCAAAAGAACTTATAAAACTCACCTTAATTCTCAACTCATTTTGTATTTAATGTTTTTTATATTTTATCTAGCTATAGTTTTGCTAGCAGATAAAATAATGCAATAGGATATATATTTATTTAAATATTAAGGAGCTTACAAGGTAAACAAAGATTATATCTAAGCAGATTTACTTATGTATCTATGTATATATTTTAGAAATCAGAATAAAGAATTGAACATGGACAACCTAACAGATCTTTTTTTCTTTATAAATAATATGTTTACACTTTTTCTAGTTGACTGCATGTTAACTGATTTTTTTCATAAAAGCTCTAGAGCAGAAAATGAGGAAATGACAGTATACTAACCAGAAAAAGGAATAAAATCTTAATGCAATGAATAATTATAAGAGGATAGTATACAGCGTATAATGGCAAAGAACTGCATCCTTGTAGACAGAAGTGAGTTTAAAATTAAAATAAGCCATTTAACCTCTCTGTGTCTCAATTTTCTTACCTTTAAAATGGGGACATTAATAGTACTTACCTCATAGGATTTTGTCAAGGATGAAATAAAGTAATCCACAGAAAGCATTTAATCACTGTGTTTGGCTTGTAGTAATAACTCCATAAATGGTAGCTGCTATTGTTGCTTATATTTCTGTAATAATAATAATAATTATTATTATTATTGTTATAGTTAATAACAGTACTATTGATTTTCTCAGTCTCATGTGTTTTGAATATATGGAGTTATTTCTCTGAAAAAGACGCCTTTGGATCCATACTGGAGAGAACAAGTTTCATAATTTGACCCACACTAGCCGGGCTATACCAGAAACTTTTAATTGAAGAAATATACAATTTAAAGAATACGTTAGCAGCCTTCCATCTTTGTAGCAATTGTTGATTTTCTTTCTCAACACTTTAGTAATGAAAATAATTTTCTCTTAATTGGGTGCTTTTAGTTTGTTTACAAATGCCATCAGTAATGTCAGTGTAACACTGGAAATAAGTTTTGGTAATGTAACAGTGAAGATAAAACTTTGACCTACTTGAAATTTTATTTATAAATTAATGTTCTTCTCTTCTTTTGGGAAAACAAACATTTTCTTTAGAAAATGTCCTCTCCATCCTTCCTCATTTAATATACTCTGCAGGGACCTTTGAAAATCACCAGAATTTTGTAGTTGGTATGAAACTCAGAAATCACCTCCTCTAGCAAAAGAGTTGATTGCTCCTGCTAGGATCTTTAGATTTTATCCTATTTCTCTGTTCCACATTGTTTACCTTTAAAAATCTTAAGCCTAATCTTGAAGGCCCTTCAGTGGGATAAGAATCAATGAACTCCACCTAACTCTTTGAAGGTATACCCAAGGTTAAGCTTAGTACTCTTATGTAAAAAGAACATCTTAGATTTAAGTTTCAAGCCTGCAACTACCTTCAGTTTAAAAATTAGAATTGCCCATAGAATTTATTAGACATCTTTTTGTCTGAGACTTTTTAAATTGAATTTATTGGGGTTACATTGATTAATAAAATTATACAGATTTCAGGTACACAAGTCCATAGTACATCATCACTATATTGTACTGTGTGTTTACCATGCCAAGTCAAGTCTCCTTCCATCACCATTTATCCCTGCTATACCTTATTCTACCTCCCCACACCTTCCTTCCTTCTGGCAGTCATCATAATGGTGTCTGTGTCCATGAGTCTTTCTATTTTATTCCTTGCTTCACCTTTCTCTCCTAGCGCCCAACTCCTTCCCCTCTGAGAACTGTTAATCTGTTCTCTGTATCCATGAGTCTGTCTAATTTTTTAGTTTATTTTGTTTATTAGATTCCACATGTAAGTGAAATCATATGGTACTTGTCTCTTTCTGTCTGTATTATTTCACTTAGCATAATAACTATCCAGGTCCATCCACGCTGTTACAAAAGGTAAAGTTTCCTTCTTTTTTTTTTTTTTAATCCTCACCCGAGGATATTTTTCCATTTTTTGTACAGATAGAGTGGGAGGGAGAGAGAGGAAGGGAGAGAGAGAGAGAAACATCGACGTGAAGGGACACATCGAGTGGCTGCCACCCGCACGACCAACCAGGGCCGGGGACAAACTGCAACCGAAGTACGTGCCCTTAGAGGGAACCGAACCCGGGTCTCTCCGGACCGCAGGCCGACGCTCTAACCGCTGAGCCAAACTGGCCAGGGCAAAGTTTCCTTCTTTTTTTACAGCTGAGTAGTATTCCATTGTGTAAATGTACCACAGCTTTTTTATCCACTCATCTGCTGGTGGACACTTGGGCTGCTTGCAAATGTTAGCTATTGTAAATAACACTACAATGAACACAGGGTGCATATATTCTTTCAAATTTGTGTTTTGCGTTTCTCTGGGTATGGTCCAAGAAGTGGAATCACTGGGTCATAAGGCAATTATATTTTTAATTTTTTGAGGTAACACCATACTGCTTTCCACAGTGGCTGCACCTGTCTGCATTCCCACCAACACTGCATGAGGGTTCCCTTTTCTCTACATCATCACCAACACTTGCTGTTTGTTGATTTATTGATGATATCCATTCTGACAGGTGTGAGGTGATATGTTATTGTGCTTTTAATTTGCATTTCTCTGATGATTGGTTTGTCTGAGTCCTTTTTTTATTAATTAATTTTTTTTTTTTTTTTTTATCCTCACCCGAGGACATTTTTCCATTTTTTGTACAGATAGAGTGGGAGGGAGAGGGAGGAAGGGAGAGAGAGAAACATCGACGTGAAGGGACACATCGAGTGGCTGCCACCCGCACGACCAACCAGGGCCGGGGACAAACTGCAAACGAAGTACGTGCCCATAGCGGGAACCGAACCCGGGTCTCTCCGGACCGCAGGCCAACACTCCAATCGCTGAGTCAAACCGGCCAGGGCTTATTAATTAATTTTTGTTACAGATGTTTCTCCTTTTCCCCCCACTGATTCCCCCTCCGCCTCCCTCCCTGCCCTGTCCCCAGCTTTGTTGTCCATGTCCATTGTTCACGCATACATGCATATAGGTTCTGTGGTTTATCTCTCCCCCACCATCCCCTCTTCTGGGGATTGTCAGTCTGTACCCAACTTCAACGTCTCTAGGACTACCCAATTCCTCAGACTGTTATGTTCATTATATTCCACAAATAAGTGAGATCATATGATACTTGACTTTCTCGGTTTGGCTTTTTTCAGTTAGGATGATACTTTCCAGGTCCCTCCATGTAGTTTCAAAGGATAAGAGATCTTTCTTTCTTACAGTTGCGTAGTACTTCATTGTGTATATGTACCACAGCTTTTTTAT